AAATTTTGGGTGTCCTGGGCGAGATTTTAAAATGGTGCTCCATTCAAGTAACTAAAACATATAATAAAAAAATTATTTCAATAATATTATTTGATTCCAAAAATATGATATAAACAAGAAAAATATAAATAAAACTTAAAAACATCTCTCGAATTTCATAAAAATTCATATGTCATCAACAAAGAATCATCCAAACCACTAGCCTCTTCATGCAATTTTATATAAGCAAACCTTGAATAAACATAGCAAAAAATCATGTAAAAATATTTCTTCTTGCATTTTTAAAAGCAAACTCGCTAATTAAACTTCCGTAATCAATATTTTTCTAGAAAGTCTTGCTCGATAGATATTAAAGTTAATTCATTCAACCGTTCTTGTAACATGATTGATCACAAATAAAATTTTAATAACTTCAATTTTGAAAAGGGATAGTAAAAATTCAATGAATCGATTTCATCAACAAATTTCACTTATTAAATTAGTAATTATAAATTATGAACGGTGAACCTATTTTCACAGTTAATTGATTTCACGTAACAGTAAATCTCTTCAAAGTTAATTGATTTTACTTATTAAATTAGTAATTATAAATTATGAACGGTGAACGCATTTTAAGAACATTAAAAATATATTAAAAAGGAATTTATAGTTTCTTGAATATTCAGAGAAGTTATTGAAGAAAAAATATGTTGAGGAAACAAAAACTCACTTGTAAGTGTTCAACTTCTCCGGAGGAAAATTATGTCGTGCTTCCTCAATCCCCAGTCCCCACGTTCAAGCAAAGTGAATTCAAATTTTAGTAAGTTCTTGCAAAGCGAATTCAAATCAGCAAAATCACGAAATGAGATTGACGAAAAAATAATAAAGAAAAGATAACAGGTAATTCAAATTTTCAACGAGGGTTTAATGAAAAATATAAATCTTCAATCGTTGTTTAAGGAAAAGAGAGAATTTTTTGGAGTCATAAGATGATTAGAGAAAAAAGACGATTTCTCCAAGAAGACGTTGATTTCTCTTCTCTGCCTCAATTATTTTTGAAGCAATTGGAAAATACGGTTGGTTTCTTTAATTCTTTTCTCCAAATAGACAATTGGAAAAGCGGTTGCTCAATTTTTTTTTCTTCTCTCAGTTCTCTGGCCAACCTGATCTCTTTTTAACTTTTCCCCTTTTTCCTCACATTATTTAAGGTAGGAATATTATTTAAAAATATTATATTCAAGAAAATTATAATTAGTTAGTCATACTATTCTTAATTTTAATATCTTATACATAATAATAAAAAATTTTATATTTTAAATATTTAATTATTAATAAATATACTACTATAACAAAAAAAATTTGATGCCCCTACAATTTTAAGGCCCTGTGCGGTCGCTCAACCCGCATACCCTCAGGGTCGCTTCTGTAATTGAGTGATTTATTAGTGGATATAGTCATGAATTCTATAAAATATATGATGTTAAAATTAATTGTAATTTTTAAATTATAAGAAACTTATAATGAAACTAGACAAACACTTCATATTCAAAACTCGATAAACTTAGGTGAGTGTATTCACTTGAAACCTTTAATGATTTTTTGGAATTTAAAAAGTTTAGAGATACTCAATTGAGACTTTTTGAAACTCTCTAAAAATCACGGTATATTCAATTGAGACTTTTATAGACTTTTAAGAAGTTTCTATTCAATTGAGACTTTCATAGACTTTTAAAAAATCTCTAAAAGTTACGATGCATCCAATTAAAACTTTTTAAAAGTTTCTATAAGTTTTGGGGTATTCAAATTTTAATGACTTTTAGATACTTTTATAAAAGTCTCTGGAATACTAACTTTTAAGCAAAAAGTACTCATATAAAATCTTAAAATTTGTCTTTCATTAATCACGAAATTTTATGAGACTTTAAAAAAAAAAATTCCAATCTTTTTTTCCTTTAAATTTCTATAGACATCTATGATTAAAATTTATTTTTTTCTATTGATTATATTTATTTCTATTTATCTTTCTTTCTCTCTCTTATTATTTATCGCTTTTTTGTATAAAAAAAAAATTTTAATTTGATTCTTGTAGTTTTTTTTCCTCATTCTTTTTTTTTTTTTGGAAAATATCTATTTTTTATTGAATTATAAATTTTAATATGAAAAATTTATAATTAAATTTAAATATATTCATTTTTATTTATTTTTAAAAGTATATTATACTAATAATATTGAATCATATATATGTATAATTATTATTATTATTATTATTTATTTAATTAAGGTCTTAAATTTTTATTTTTTCAAATTTTTTTATTATAAGGGAAGAAGGGGAATTGTGGGAACTAATACCTTGTATATGAGAATTTCACACCATTGTACTAGATCTACGTGAATTCTATTTCAAATAAAAGTCTTCAAAAGTATTTCGAATTCTACAAAAGTCTATAAAAATTTTAAAATGAAAGTCCATAGAAGTCTACGAAAGACTTCTACTAATTCCATACAAAATTATGAAAAATCCACAAAAGTCATCACTTAAAAAAAGTTCACCAAAGTTTTTAAAAGTCTCAATTGAATACACCCTCCTTAATTATATTTCGTGCGGACCTTAAAATATGAACGATTCATTTGTCAACAAATTTCGTATCAATTATTTGAGTGTAAATGGGCATAGCTTTGTCTAAAGTTTATGATATTGCATACTCTCTCTCTGTGCAAGTATAAATAGGAGATTAAAGTATTACTAACCTTTCAAGTTACTATATTTTAAAAAAATAATAATAATAAATAGATAAATAAATATAGAACAATTGCAAAATAATTTTCATAATCAAATATCACTTCAAAAAACTCCAAAATAACCCCTCCAAACCCCTTCCCTCCCGCCGCACTCCCCATATCTGATTTTCTCCCTTAACCCTTTCACTTCCCGTTCTCCCACTCCACGCGGTACAAAATTAGATTCAACACGAAAACCCCATAACAAAACCTAGAAAAAAAAGGCGGTGCTCAGTCGAAAGGGAAGACCCACACCCGATGAAGAGGGAGCACCACCAATCGCATTTGCAAGGATTCAATTCAAATCTAATTTGGATAAGCGCTTTAGCTTGGATGATGGTGTCAATATGGTTGTGGTGACAACAACAACAAAGGATTTGTTGCCGGTGGTGATAGTGGTAGCAATGACAACATCGATTGGGGTGGGTTGATGGTCCACTAATCGATATATAGTGATAGTTAGACTTACACACATTGTAATAGTATTAACAGTCAAAGTCAACAATTAATTTTTAACTTCATATTTCAAAGGGATCACAACTTTTCAATCGCACATTTTATTAACTTTTATCAAAATCTAAAAAAAAAAAAAAAAAAATCTAATTTTAATTCTCACCAAAAATTACGATTTCAAATAAATTCTACATTGTTACAGGATTAATAGATTACAATAATTCTAACTTACCGTGAAGTTTCCCACATTTCACTGTAAAAAAAAATTACATAGGCGTCATGAAAATATATTATAGAAAATTATAAGCAATTTTCCTTTGATCAAATCATCTCTCCACAGGCAGCAAGCGACATGATTATCTTGGGGAATGGGGCAAGCGAATTTTGTTAGTAGTACAACCAGAGGGGAGCCCATGATTTTTTTATTCATCATGAACCCCCCTCATGTGTGTGGTTGTCAATAAAAATTGACAATCCCGATTGAACATGTAGCATGCCCGATAGGTACAATACCCTCTATTTCAAGCGCAAGAGCATAAGTATTTTTGGCAGTTAAGAAAATAGGTTGAATTTACTTTTAGCTTTAAAATTATTTATTTTATTCAGCATGATTTTTAAAATTATTTTTTTAAAAATAAAATTTACAACTTTGTTACCTTATTTCGTGACAAATTGGCTTTCCAACACAACCAACCATACGTTGGTGTCTCCTCTCCTCTCTTCTATTTTATTATTTCCAAAAATTTGAAAGCATTTAGGCCGCTTAACTCTTGTGACGTGTCAAATTAAAAGTATTCTATTTTTAAACAATTTACAAAGGTAAACAAGGATATCGCATTATCACTTGAAATGGCTTCTTAAATTAATAATCTTTTCTTTAAAAATGTACATTTTGCTTTTATTGTTCGTATATCTTCTTCTCTAAAGGGAAACCTTTAGAAAATGCCTGCAAAAATATTTCAAAAATTAGTATCTTATAAAAGATATTGGATTTTTTATTAGATATTTTTTATGAATAAATTTTAGATTATCCTTTTTGTTTTTTTGTTTTTTGAAAAATATATAATTTAAAAGTTAGAAAAATTTATGAATCCATGTGTAAATTATTTTATTTAAAGAGTGTATAATTTAAAATGAGTTTAGGAGAAAATAAATTTTAGAAAATGAGAATCAAACATACTCCATAGGTGAGATGCAAAATTTAACACCAAGAATTCATGGTCCCCCCAAAATGAAAAGGATAAACCCTCTCATAAGAATAAATCTTACAAAATCAACAACTTTGAACCAAAAAAATAATAATAAATAAATAAATCCTTTTGTCAATTAACGTGAAGCAAATATTTTTAAATCAATGGCCATACTATGCTAAAATAAGTTAAGATGTAACCCTTGTTTGAGCTCCATTCTTGCCAAAGAATTCAGTTTTGAATAGTGTATTAATGAAAAATGTGTGGTTAAAAATTAAAGAATTTTTTTGGATTTACGTTTAATATTATTTTAATGAAGAATGTGCGATTAAAATAAGGTCAAATCACTGTTGAAAAATGTATTTTGATGAAAATAATAAAGCTCCAACAAGGCATAATATGATTTGGGGATACACGCGTCTTTAGTATCAAATACAGATTCCAAGTGATACACCTGTATAAACAATCAAATATTTCCAAAAATAGGGAAATTAGAAATTGATTATTACCAATTAAACTCATTTTATTGAATAATATTATTCATAGTCACGATAATCGTCCTAAGTAGCATACATATGGCATGTAGGATGACTGCCGTAGTGAGCAACTGCAAATAACATTATTCCATTTTATTACAAGATCTGATCCAAGTTATCACAAGATTGCAAACTTTCCTTAACATTCCTAATCTCACAAACCAAATTGAATAACCACACCAACCATCTTTTATTTATTGCACAGCATAAAACAGAACTTCCAAGGCTCGTGGTGACACCATCAAGCCCAACTTTCCTTAACATTCCTAACCTGACAAACCAAATTGAATAACCACACCAACCATCTTTTATTTATTGCACAGCATAAAACAGAACTTCCAAGGCTCGTGGTGACACCATCAAGCCCTCCAAAAAAAAAAAAAAAAAAAAAAAAAAAAAACCATCATGGAAAGCCTTTGATGAAATTAATTCACTAATGACAACACAAGAGACCAAGTTTTGATCACACTTCAGGTTTTATCAGATGAGAGCATTGATGAATGCAACATTTATTACCAAAATTTTGCAATTAAAATTAATTTATTCTAACCTTTAACGGCATTAGAAAAATCAATGTCTTGAGCCAGCCAGTCTTCCCTAGTGAGCAAACGGATTAATATACTCGGGCCTTTGGGGGAAATGACTCCACTTCATCATCCAGCGTATTCATGTGAACTGGCCTGTAGGCAAGCCTAACCTTTTCGTTCTCCCAATATCTGCAGATGACAACAGGAGCTTTATCAACAAACCGGGCTTTAACACAACCAACTCATCAATAATAACAGCAATCAATATGACAAGTTTATTGGACTTCAACTTATGCAACGCACTCAATATGACAAAGGAAAGGTGAAATAAACAAATTATATGAGCATGCTGCAGGAAATTATAACACAACACAAACATATCCACAACACTGAACAATCTACAACAATCAATGAGTTATGAAGCTTGAAATGTTGGTTTGTCTACAACAAGAGCAATCACTACAGTGTGCCGTTTAAAAGCGCATCTAAATCAAATGCTGTTGGATATCAAGGCTCAACTGATACCCAAGAATAACTAACCTAGAATAATTTACAAAGAGGAGAGTTTTGTAAGTTTTTCGAAAATTAATCTCAAATTACTCAAGTTAAAATCACGTAGATCAATTGAATAATATAAGTAAGTAAAATTAAAAATAAATAAAAGAGTAGAGAGGAAGCAAACAATATATTTATGAAGGTTCAATTGAAACCAATGATGTACATCATCCGTTACCAAACTCTTTGTCACGAGCAAAAGTCTTTTCACCATATTGATTAACTTTTGGTACAATCAAAAACCTTATAGAGCTTTCTGTGAATTAAATAAAAAAAAAAAAGGAGCACCGATCCTTATACAATATTGCTTTAAGGGACCTCAACATAACCTAAAAGTTTGATAAAAAGAAATAGATCAACGATTAACCTCATCTACATAGCCTTTCCAAGGAACAACATGAGCAATAATGTAGTATAAAACTTTGCAAAGAAAAGTGAGTTGTTTGGAACCAAATTTTACGGCATTTTGAAAAGGTTAACTCTAAGATAAGCTCCAATGGCGAATAACCTTCAAAAATACGCGGAATCATCTGGCAACACTCTATTCGCACATTCCTCAATGTACGAATGAGGTTTCTAGCGATTTTTTGTTTTTCCCCCCTTTAAGAAAACAAGCGATCCCCATACTTAAAAATGTAATTCATGTTTCACTAAAAATTTTTGAAAAGCTTCGAGTAGGCTTTTTTCTTGTATAGTGGCAATGGAGACCAAGCCTACCCACAAGAAATATTCCTTGATTTGAAACGAAGGAGCATCAAAAGTAAGAGAGTCAACCTATAAGAATTGGACATTTATCAAACCAATTTTTCGGCAATGGGGGTTCTTCATCAAATGGAATTGACGCCCTCTTACTCCTCCTTGGTCTCTTGCTTGGCATCCTTACTCGAGGCATATACGGTTGATAGAATCAGATGACTGCCCAATTTGTGGAGATGGAAGAGTTTTAATAAATGAAAATTAGGGATTTTGAGAAATTTGAAGATTTAAGGATGGTATTGTGAGGAATAAGTCGAGAGAAGGAATGAAGAGAAATGGGAAAGAAATTTAGGAAAAAAATGAAGAATTTTGGAGTTACATGATTCAACAGGCCTTGACACGACTTACATGATTCAACATAGAATACACAAATTTTGGTTGACCATACGAACTGTCCTTGGATCACTTATTAATAGACAAACAAGAGACTGAGGGAAAATGCTTACCCCAAAGTATGTTTCATCCAGTTTTCATCATCTCTTTTCTGCAACAACTTACAAATTGATTCAGCAGTGTATGCTAAGGAGAAAATTGGAAAATAAATTAACATTTAAGGGTTTAGAACTAACCGTAAAATCTTCACGTGCATGGGCTCCTCTACTTTCTTTCCTCGCTTCAGCAGAGTGCATAGTGATACATGCATTAATTAAAAGGTTTTCCAACTCAATAGTCTCTATCAAGTCTGAGTTCCTGTAAACATAGAGTGCCTATTAAAGGTTTTCCAACTCCAACTTTGTTCCTGGTTATACATGCTTTAATTAAATAATATTACACGAGGGAAATAAGCAATGAGAAATTATTGACTTCAGCATACAACTTTCAATGCTAGTAATCCTCGTAAACATATAATACCATATCAAGCTTCTGTCCTTCAACTTGACATCATGAAAGCTCTCCCATGCTTTATCAATCAACTGACAACCTTCAAAACAAAATGAAATCAGCAGTGAGGAAGATGATTTAAATATTGTGATCAATGGGATCAAAATAGTAAGCATATTTCAAAAGCATAGTCAATGCAGACTTGTTTGTGTAGATGCATGCCAATTCAGCCAGAAAATGAAGGATATCCACTTGTTATCTACCCCATGTCCTATACAACAAACTGGAAAAGGGAGGTCCCTACAGCATACCTTCTTCTAATGTTTCTTGTGTGCGAAATACAGCAGCATTGCTTTGCATAATCCGTTGCATGTTCAACCGGATATTCGAGGTGGGAAGGGAACCATTTGAATTTCTAAGATTGTCCAACCATGCAATAGTTCTCTCTCCAGCATCCTGTTCCAGTGGTTTTTGACTCTCTCCTGCATGAGTGCAAGGATCTAAAAATTGTAATACAGTACCCATGAGGCACCAAATCCCGAAAAATAAACAAACTTCTATTCACCTGGTCTACGGATCTCAGCAACCCTGTTTGCACAAGCCCGTCCAAATACAACAATGTCAAGAAGAGAATTTGCACCAAGTCGATTAGCGCCATGAACAGATGCACAGGCAGCTTCCCCAGCAGCTAAAAGTCCAGGAATCACTGCATCTGGATCATCATCTTTGATGGTAACCACCTGCGCAATAATTACTTAAGGAGGAGAGTTCCATATTTTTTGATCAAGAACTCAAAATGTCAGGTGTCAAAATTCTTACCTCTCCATAATGATTCGTGGGGATCCCACCCATGTTATAATGGACAGTAGGTAAAACAGGGATTGGCTCTTTTGTAACATCGACACCAGCAAAAATAGCAGCAGTTTCAGATATACCAGGAAGTCTCTCCTTGAGAACCTCAGGAGGTAAGTGATTTAAGTGAAGATAGATGTGATCTTTCAAGGGTCCTGTTCGGAGACAAGAATATCTCGTCACAATATGTTTTAGCAACAATAATCAATCCTAAGAATGAACTCCTAGAGCTGCTACATCCTTTTGTCCATTAGATCCCCCCCCCCCCCCCCCCCCCCCCCAAAAAAAAAAAAAAAACAACACACAACCATACACATATAACACCAATTATAAAAAATAACCATCCAAAACTGTTGTTTGTGTATCATTTACTTCTACATAATATAAAGGTAAATATTTAAGCTTTCTCGAGGCAAATGCTACCTAAGGTATTCACAAGATTAACTGATCATAGTATGATAAGATTGATTTAACAAGACACTGAATTCTCACGAGTAAAGATTTGAAACACAGGGAACCCACCTCCAAGTTCTGGAGTCACTAGGAGAATAAGCTTATGTGGAAATCCCCCTCCCCCTAAAAAAAAAAAAAAATTCTCTACCAACCATACACATATAACACCAATTATAAAAAATAACCATCCAAAACTGTTGTTTGTGTATCATTTACTTCTACATAATATAAAGGTAAATATTTAAGCTTTCTCGAGGCAAATGCTACCTAAGGTATTCACAAGATTAACTGATCATAGTATGATAAGATTGATTTAACAAGACACTGAATTCTCACGAGTAAAGATTTGAAACACAGGGAACCCACCTCCAAGTTCTGGAGTCACTAGGAGAATAAGCTTATGTGGAAATAAATTTCTATTCCTTCATTGATAAATCAAAATTTCTCCTTGGCCGGAATAAGTATAAAAAGTCTGCATAGAACAGGTTTAATAGAGGGAAAAACAAGTATCAAAAAGTCCATCCAAATGCAAAAGAACCGGGAATTTACTGATTATTCCAATTGAAATGAAAGAGAATAATATACTCTTAGTTCTCAGGATTTCTACGTTTTAAAAGGCCCTCTGCCCATTTTCCCCCAAAACAACCTATATTCAGACATGTGGAAGTGACTCATAACAAAAGGTAACTTTAGATAAACCAAATTTCACTGTACACTGAATGCAACCATACCTACACCACGTCCTTCCCGGATCTCCATCGTCATAGATCTCGAAACAACATCTCTTGATGCAAGATCCTTAGCTGTTGGGGCATAACGTTCCATGAATCTTTCACCTTCACTATTCCTAAGAATGCCACCTTCACCCCTAGACCCTGAACACGAAGAAACATTGGAAATGAATGTGTGTCAAAAATGAGAAATACATTTATATTAGATTAAACCAAGACAGATAGCACGTACCTTCAGTAATGAGACAACCTGCACCATATATACCCGTTGGATGGAACTGGACGAACTCCAGATCCTGTAAAAGGGAAGTCGTAGAATTAATAGTTGGAAACTTAGCACTTGTTTATATTACTCGCTTAGAAAATAGATTCACCAGCCCCAACTCATTTAAAGACAGAAATAGTGGTCAACAATAAAAAAACCTCAAGAGGCAGCCCAGCTCGAGCAACCATAGCATTTCCATCTCCAGTGCAAGTGTGAGCAGAGGTAGCAGAGAAGTATGCCCTACCATAACCCTGGCAGAAGCAGCAAAAGACGAAATAGCATTTCAGGGGATAAATATCAAAAGAAGCAGTTTACATGTAATGTTCAGGCCTAAAATATGCTTCAAAAATCAATAGTTACCCCTGTAGCTAGAATTGTTGATGGAGCACGGAACCTATGTAATGTCCCATCCTCCATATTCAAGGCAATTACACCTTGGCAGCTACCTGATATCGGAAAACAAAAAATAAGTAACAGATTGACACGCGTGTCCATGTTTATGCATTTGCAGGTGCACAATACATGTCAAAGTTTATTTTCCTGTTCCATAAGCTTAAGCATATTGGGAGAATATATTCAAATAGATATTATAATGTTTATTTTCCTGTTCAATAAGCTTAAGCATATTGGGAGAATATATTCAAATAGTTATTACTCCACCTTTCAACCAACGGTTTGGTGATCCCAGAATTTTTGTTGCATTATGGACCACGTTTAAACGTAAATAATAGTATAACAGTGTGTTGAATTTGAAGATTATGTTCTTAACTTTGTAAATTCCAGTTTAATGCATTTTTGGTCTTTCTCCCCATTTCACTTGTTGGCAGATACATTTTTCGTGGTCAAACATTTTACAGAATACATGATTCACAGAATGAATTACTTGAGACTAATTTTATCACAAGATGTAGAGATATCCAATAATCTTCCAGTGGGGAGAACAAAAGGAATATTTTGCTACTAAAAAAAACGATTCAACAGACTCCCAATGTACTTGGAAGGAAGTTAGGAATCCCTACCATCTTTACCCATAAGTAAATCCAAGGCAAAGTATTCCACAAAAAATTGTGTATTGTGTTTCATAGCCTGGCCATAAAGAGTATGCAACAAAGCATGCCCAGTTCGATCTGCAGCACATGCACAACGATATGCTTGTCCACCTACAAGAAATAGAGGTTGTGCCAATCAAATAAGTTACGTTGAAACCCTATACTATTCTTTCAATGAGAAACATCTTAATACCTTTTCCAAAGTTTAGGCTTTGACCACCAAATGCACGTTGGTAAATCTTTCCATCTTCAGTCCTGGAGAATGGTAGCCCATAATTTTCAAGCTCTATAACTGCTTTTGGTGCTTCCCTACACATGTACTGAATGGCGTCCTGATCACCTGTAGGGAACATAATGCCAGTTATAAAAGGAAATGTCGCAACTTTTCGGCTTACCTTGGGTCCTCTACTTAGATATACAAGGAACCGTGGTAAAGACTGCAGAGTAAATAAAAGAACGATACCAGACCCCAAAGATTTCAAACTACATGAATTCTCCAACAAATATTAGTATAAATGGCGTGTGAAGGCCTAATTTTGTGTACAGGGAACATAATGCCAGTTATAAAAGATAATTTCACCCCATTTTGACTTACCTTGGGTCCTCTAGTTAGATATACAAGGAACCGTGGTACAGACTGGTGAGTAAATAAAAGAACAATACCAGACCACAAAGATTTCAACTACTGGAATTCTACAACAAATAGAAGAATAAATGTGTGAAGGCCTAATTTTGTAGGTGTTGAAGATAGTATTTTAATGATACATATGTGGCTATATCTAACAGCTTATGCTTTTAAATTAAGTGGTTCAATGTAGTATTATGCAAATGTCATGAGTTCAAGTCTCGCCACTTCCATTTAATAAATTGTGTATGCATTAGGCTCTAATGGGAAAAATAAATCCAACCTAAAAGTGAGGAAGTATGTTGAAGACAATATTTAAATGATGTATATGTGGTTCAATCTAACAGATTTTAAATCATGTAGTTCAACAGTGAAAATTCAACTTTTTTTCTCAAGAGTAAGCAAAGACAAAAGGCATACAATCTTATTGAAGTGTACGGTCATCAACAGCTCAGCCATGTTGGACATATGTAGGGATCCAGATCAAAAGCCAATCAAACCATTAATACTTGACCAGAGTTTTAATATTTTTGAGTGCGCATGAAAGTGAAAGTAACATTGAAATCAAGACACAATTTTAATCAGCACGTTTCAATGTGTAAACTAGTATAATGTAGATGCATATAAAAAATTGGGTAATGCTATGTGTACACAATGTTGTACACACAGGATTACATACCCCTCACATGGAGGGAGCCCCTCCATATGAGGGGCGTGTAATACACCTCATGGTATACATATAGAATTATCCTAAAAAATTAATATTTGTGTTCATTAGACATGCATCATGTAACGTGACCAACCCTAAAACCATATGAAAATATGCCCATAAATGGCATATTTATAATGCTCAATTAGGGTTTTAAAATTGTACAAATTTTCTTGAACTTTATTGTAGTAGACCAATTAAGCCACACACCTTATTGGAGTCAAGAGAGGACCTAACCAGAATCACATGACTCAAGCTGCAATAGATATTTCTAATTAGGTCAACTATTGACCAACTGAGATACATCTATTAATTCCAGCTCATTCTACCAAAAAAATCAAGATTGCACTCTCAAGTCGAGTGACAATTATATAAACAAATTATGATCTAACAACAATATCCTCTGATTATCACTCCACAAGTTAACCCGCATTTGACCATCAATATGTTGAAAACCACAAAATGACCATTTTGCTCTTCAACGTGTTTTACCTTCTTAAGTTCCATTTTCATAAGGCGAATTCATTATGATCAAATCAAAATATAAAGTCCAACGATCTCATCATCAGACTACTAAGTTCAGATTCAATTTGCCTATAGAAAATACCTTAGAGTGATGATCATCTCATCTCGATGATTAATGGATTCGACTATCACAATTATATGACTCTGATTGTTTCGGCCTGATTCCCAAAGCACCCAAATCAATCTTCTAATAAAGACTTCATTCTTTGGTGCCTCAAAGAACTTGAACTAACAATCAAATGTTCATTACTCATTCTAAATTTAGGTGACTTGTTTGATAATCGAGCGGAGTCTCATTTCAAATGGTCACAAAATGAGTCATCTACGCGATCACGTTCAATGTGTATAAAAAATATATCATTGTTCTTACTCCAAAATCTAGACAAATTTTAGTGAGAACAATGCAATTTTATCAATATAAAGTGTCTAACTTTATATACTGATTGTGAACGACATATTTTTTATTATATCACGAATTGTGTCTTGCTATACTTGAACCATTGAGTATACAATTTGTGAAATCCCATATGATCATGGAACCTTAGATAAATGTTTCAATATGTAGCACGCGAATAATAGAATGTCAATTTATAATATCGTTTTACAAAATAATACTCGAAAAGGCCATCAAACTAACAACTCAGATCATAATCTAGACCAAGCCCGTGCTACCGAATGTTTAGTGGTTATTATTAATAATAATAACAAAATACCAAAAAAATTGAAAAGTAGAAATTTCGTTCAAAGACAACTAGAAGAAACCTTTTGCCTTAAACCAGTAAAAGGAAGACAAATCATAGTTCAGAAGCACTTACCTAGCCAATCGCTTCCCTTAACTGTATCATACATGTGCCACCTCCAATCATCTTCGGTCATATTTCCTAATGCAGCATTTATTCCACCCTAATAAGGATTTACAGATATGGGGGTTAGATGCATATCGTACATTGGACTAAAACTTTTGTCTTGCATTGGACATTAAAGAACAGAACTTAGTCGAGTTAATAAACAAGGATAACAAATATTGTCATCCATTTCTTGAGTCACAGCTTATAAGTAATAACCAAAAATTGGAACCCCTCAAATACATAATAGAATGAGGATTAGAGAGAAAAACAATAGTATGGTACATTTCGAGCCACCTAAAAACAGAGAAAAAAAGTTCAAAAGTTGTTTTCTACTACAACACGAACAGCAAAAGGTCGTCGTCTTCGCTAGAAATAAGTTCTTTGAATATGAAGCGATGGCAAAATCTGAAAATTGCACCTGGGAAATTACTTGAAAATATGAAATTAGATCTTCAATTTCTACAACAAGATTGCAATGCTGAAAAATTGGTATTAGTTATGGATGAAAGATATGGAAAGGTAAAAATACTATAGCGAAGGTGTAAATAGAATTAGTTTCAATTATTTAGGATCATGAGCAAACAGACTATGCAAAAATGATAAAACACAGTAAAGAAAATATACTTTTTCCTTTTTCCTTGTCTGGCAACTAACAAAATTATACCACAAGCCTCAATAAATTTAAAGCAATGCCATTAAGACAAGGAATACCCACTTAATGATAGCAGCCAGGTAGCCGGGAAAAATAGAAACAAAAGTGAGTCATAATCTACGGATCAATATGGAAGTGAAGGAATAAAAAGAAGAAACCAAAATTTATATAATAAAATATGTGATAACATCCAACTCCAAATAAATAGATATAAAAATAATCCTTCAAGACTCTTAGCAGTAGAAGTACACAACAAAATTTGCAACGTGAAACATTTGCAAAGGAGTTAAAAATAAGACATTTGCATCCCAAGATAAAGATAAGTCTCAATTGAAATAGGAAAAACTAGTTGTACCCCTTAACAAGAATTACCGCACCTGAGCTGCAACAGTGTGGGACCGAGTAGGAAATAGTTTGGTAATGCAAGCTGTATTGAATCCATGCTCGGACAACCCAATTGCCGCTCGCAGGCCTGCACCACCTGCGCCCACCACAACAGCATCATAGGTATGATCCACCACTGTGTATGATGACCCTCCAACATTCTGTTCATAACAAACAAATAAATTCCAAATATGAATGAAATAAATAAACATATGAACCAATAATATATCACAATCCACAATCTACTAGCAAGTAATAAAAAATTACAACAGTCAAACAAACTAATTAGCTAACCTAACCCTGCTACCTATTTAGAAAACCCAAATCCACAAAAGGCCCAAGTCACAAAATTAGAACAGGAACCAGTCAAAGGACCCAAGATTCAAATCCATTTTCGTAAAAAAAAAAAAAAAGAATAAAAAAAAAATCAACTTCAATAAAAGTTATAATTGTAAATGTGGGGATCTTACGGATTGAGTTGAAAAGAGGCGTCGGAGGGAGTTGCAGTCCGTAGATTTCTTCGATGGAATGCGGAGGCCACGCGACACGCACCGCCACATCTCAGTACACTTCTGGGTAATGTATGTAAGAGGGTGTATATGTTATATGTAATATCAATTGCGTGTCTGTGTTTCGTTGTTATGGGAGAGCGTAAAAGGGAATGGGCTATGAAACGGAGGAATGCAGTTATATTTGCGAATGAAACGGGGAATGTAGACATTTTTATTAAATTTTAAGTTATTTTCATCGTCGTTAAAATTAAATAAAATAAAGCTTGAATTTTATGACGAAACACACAATATATTTAAGGGAAAATTGCAGCAGCGGCCGTTCACTAATCTTTTTAATTTTTCTAGATTTTATCCTAACCTTCAATTTGTGCCAACGAAAATACCTAACATTTAAAAAATATGCAGGTCCAAATGGACTGTTAGTTGACTAACAAAAGTGAATTTTGACTAAACTAAAATGGGTAAAATGGTAAATTTGTTATTTATACCTAAAATAAAATAATTTAAAAACAAAAATAGAATAAAACAAATTAAACTAAATGGGGGTTTGATATGCATTTTTACGTAAAAATATATTTAAAAATAGTAAATTGATGTGAAATGTGTAGTTGAGAAATAAGGAAATTTTTTTGATTTACGTGTAATATTATTTTAATAAAAAATGTGTGATTGAAAAGAAGAGAGAGAAAAATGTATTTTGAAAAAAAAATGCTACCAAACGGGGATTAAAAAAGAAAAAACAGAGAAGGTAGTGGTGTTTCCAACACAACCTCTATTTCATCGACGTTGGTGCCATCACAACGTCCTCTTCGTCGTCGACACCATCGGTAGAGCCTCCCCTTCACCAACACAACTATCAGTAAATACCACATCTAAACCTTAACACCACCACCATAGAATCCACACACCAAAACCCTTAAGCCCGTTTGCGTTTGAATTGCCCTGGAATCAATTGCATGATTCGTACAAAATTAATGAAGACCCATGGGTGGAATAGCTTCGCCATGATGAGAGTGTGCTGACCAGGGTGGTTCGCAATCATGGGATTGAACACCATTGTCGGAATCTGAATCTAAAATCTGCGTGTTGACTGCGTGCGTGAGTTTTGGATGCAATTATTGATTAGGTGGTGGAGTAGGTGTTTGGTGGCCATGAGTAGCTACGGCATGATGAGGGAAGTCTACTAGTATGTTGGGCTTAGGTTGGGAGTGATCAGAAAGTGAGTTGCCGATAGTTTTGCGTTGTGCGAGATGCTATTGTTGCTATGTGATTCCGACCAGTTTCCATCGGAGCTAGGGTCAAGCTCTCTGATGATGTGTAAGTCTGATGATTTGGGCGGTGGTATCGACGATGGAGATGGTGTGTCATTGGCAGGCTCGTTTCTATTGGTTTGATTTTGGGTTGGGTTAGGAAGGATGGCCTTTATTAAGGTTTTGGTTTTCAATTTTTTTTTATTATTAACCGATTTTATTTTAATTATTTTATTATATAAAATTCAATTTTACTATTTTAAACTCTTAAATTGATCAACATTAGGTCAATCCTTTGACTATTGGCCAACTAACGATCAAATGGATTGTTTCATTTGGACCCTAGTTACATATTTTCGAAAGTTTAGGGGCCTTCGCTGGCACAAATTAAAGGTTAGAGTAAAGTCTACAAAAATTAAAAAGGTTAGGGACCGCTGTTGCAATTTTTCCTATATTTAATTGAATGAATTATGCGATGAAACGAACAATAAATTTAATTAAAAATTTTGGATTTTTGAAACGAAATATACAACCTGTTTAATTAAATTTATTTCGCGTTTCTTGACAAAATCAAAAATGTAATTTAATTTAATTTTAATAACGAAAAGCAAAGTAAATTTGAAATTTTCAAATGATGAAAGTAACTTAGAATTCTACTAAAAAATATGTTAAAATTAAACTTAACTATTATATAACTAAGTAATAATTTCTCGTTGGATAGACAACTTAAATTCGTTTGTTCACTTTATTACTTTTACACCACCGATGCATTTGAAATACACATTTTTTACGAACAACATACTAGTATCATTTTTATTAATTTAGTGGCCAAAATTTGACCACCTCAAATTTTAGAGTGAACAATTGATGACTTTTTTCAAATTTAGCGAGCAATCGAAGATATTTTCACAGTTTAGCGAGCAATTGAAGACTTGACAATTTGTTAACTGTATGACGGGCGTCACATGGGCATTCTGTTAGTTGCGTCACTAATTATGTTAAAGTTTTTGTAACGAATATTCTGATATTGAGTAATGTCCAACATTTGGATATGCTTAGCAATCAAAACTAGACATCTTAAATTTCAGTGAGCAATCGAAAACATAAACATAAGTTTAGTGGCCATTTCGAGAGTTAACTCTATATTTGCATAATTTACTTGAGTGTCATTTTGTGTTCCCTTGTTTAAGCTCCATTAAATTAAAGTTTGGGAAAATGTGTTTTGGAAAATTTAGATTTACGTATAATATTATTTTATTGAAAAATATGTGGTTTATTAAGGTTTTGGTTTTTAATTTTTTTAATTATTAATTGATTTTATTTTAATTATTTTATTATATAAAATACAATTGTACTATTCTAACCTTTTAAAATTGGTCAACATTAGGTCAATCCTTTGACTATTGGTCAACTAACGGTCAAATGGATAGTTTCATTTAGACCCCATCTACATATTTTTGAAATATTAGGGACCTTCATTGGCACAAATTGAAGGTTAGGATAAAATCTACAAAAATTGAAAAGGTTAGGGACGGCTACTGCAATTTTCCCTATATTTAATTGAATGAATTATGCAACGAAACGAACAATAAATTAATTAAAATTTGGATATTTAAAATGAAATATACAACCTGTTTAATTAAATTTATTTCGTGTTTCGTTGCAAAATCCAAAATGTAATTTAATTTAATTTTAATAACGAAAAGCACAGTAAATTTGAATTTTTCAAATGATGAAAATAACTTAGAATTTTACAAAAAATATATTAAAATTAAGCTTAACTATTATATAACTACGTAATCATTTCTCCTGAGATAGACAACCTAAACTCGTTTGTTTACTTTATTACTTTTACGCTACTAATGCATTTGAAATACACATTTTTAATGAACAACAGACTAGTGTCATTTTTATTAATTTAGTGGCCAAAATTTGACTACCTCAAATTATAGTGAACAATTGACAGCGTTTTTCAAAATTTAGTAAACAATCAAAAATGTTTCTAATGTTTAATGAGCAATCAAATACGTTTTAAATTTTTAGTGGCCAAAGTTTTTCTACCTCAAAGTTCAATGAGCAATTGAAGATGTTTTTCAAAGTTCAGTGAGCAATCGAAGATATTTCCACAGTTTAGTGAGCAATCGAAGACTTGACAATTTTTTTAACTGTATGATGAGGCGCCACATGGACATTTCGTTAGTCACGTCACTAATCATATTAAATTTTTTGTAACGAATGTTCTGGTATTAAGTAACGTCTAATGTTTGGATAAGTTTAATAACCAAAACTAGACATCTTAAATTTCAGTGAGCAATCGAAAATACAGACATAAGTTCAGTGGCCATTTGGAGAGATAACTCTATATTTGCATAATTTACTTGAGTGCCATTTTGTGTTCCCTTGTTTGAGCTCCATTAAATTAAAGTTTGGGAAAATCTGTCTTGGAAAATTTAGATTTACGTATAATATTATTTTGTTAAAAAATATGCAGTTGAAAAGAAGATAGAAAGCAACATGCATTTTGAAGTGGCATTGTAAATTTTTACTATGCTCCGTTTAGTGGAGATTAGATCAAATTTTTAGTAGATTTAAAAAAAAAAATTAAGAAATGTATGATCGAAAAGTCATGGATTTCATGAAATATGTTATTATTCAATACATTCTTTTTCCCATTATTTGTCAAACGGGGACTTAGATTTTAATCACCACCAAATAGGGATTATATAAAGTTTTTAAAATGAATTTTGACTATATAAAGTTAAGTAATGCTATTTAGCTTCATTAACGTTATAACCATAGTTGATGTAATGTTAATGTGACAATAAATAATAAGTAAAATTAAATGGGTCATTTACTTTTACTTTTCATTTAGTCTATTACATAATGTCACATAGAGTGAAGTTATAATTTCAGTGTGGCTAAATAACATTATTACTACTACTATTACTACTACTATTATTATTATTATTTCGATGTGGTATTTTGTAGGGACGACAAAAAAATGCCTCCGTGTCTCGTTGGGGGTGTTGGAACTGGAATGGAAATGTGGTCTCTGCTTGAAACCACCTTGAACTGAATATTTAATATTTTTATGTTTTTAATTTAAATTGTATTTTAAAAATAAAAATAATTTTAAATAGATAAATAATATAAAAAAATGAGGCGGTAAATTAAGCACTTTTGTGGACCGTCTCAATCTCGTTGCCATTCTTAGTATTTTGTACAGATAGTACATATTTAATTAATTAGATCAACAAAAAGTGTGGTATATTAATTTGATTAAGAAATTTATCGTGTTAGAGTCATCATAATTCACTTGTTTCACCTCTTCTCATTCTCAATTCTTCTATTAGCCTCAACCATCCATGCAACTACTCACCCTTTAATAACACACTGTTTGACTAAAGAGTATAATAGAACTCTACTTTGATAAATCTAACATTCATTATATTTTATATGTGAGCAAAAGTACTTCACAATATAGTAATCTACTATACGTATGCATGTAATTAGTAAATTATGGATGAGGTAATCGGATTGTGCTCTCCTACCTTTCAAATATTGTGGTTTATCTGTACTTGATCCATAGGAGTCAAGTTTTAAGTTCGTAACATATTTAAATATGTGAATTTGGATCCTATTTGACAGAATTAGTCAATAACGATGTTAAAGCAAATGAGTTCACATGACTTTAAGCACAAACAACGAAATATTTAAGTATGATGATATTTTTACCTTCCAAATTTAAATCACGTGTAAATCATATGTGATTTTAATATCCACTACTATTACGCAATAAACCAGATTTATATATTTAAATAAGTTGGGACTCCAAACAAGATTAAAGACATACAACCACACACATGAAATGTTAAAAGGGTGTGTTTGATTTGATATTTTCAATTTTCGATTTTTTGAACTCTCAAA